AGCACTAGACAAAACAATTTTGTCGCAGTGTTTACTTCAAAGTATTAATATCACGACATACCGAACGACATAATATACTCGAATTTGTCGTTAGTCGAGTGTAATTCGGTTTAATCTATGTATCTTGCAAATTCCTAACATTTTTATTTGGGTAATGCACCCAGACTGTATCAGTAGTTAAGTGTCGCATTAACCCAAACAAATTTCCCCATTAGTAACCTTCAGAGAGGTTTAGTAAATCCTTATGGCTCATCGGGAGCAAGAATGTGGGGGCATTCACAGAGATCAATCAAGTATAATATCGTTTAGAGAAAAAAGTTCAATGCTTTCACTAGCGTACCATGTTTGCAAATTTATCCCAGATTCTAATATGGCTCAGACTTTAAACTATGTTGTCAATCAACTTTTGCAAACCTGTCAATATTGCAGGGCGTGTTTGGGTATGCAACTCTATTTTCCGAAACTCAATATTTGCTCAATAACACGACGGAGACAAATTGGGCTTAGGTAGAATGACCCTTGGAACGAAAGTGAAATGTAATTTTAAAATATAGCTTACTAATGGATATGGCGTTAACTACACCCTTCTTTTAGGACCCCTGAATGCTGATTTACAATCTTGAATATTTCCTCGTTGAAAATTGGAGTGCTATATTATGCAACTAACATTTGTTGTTCTTCTCAGACCTGAAAATTTACGACGGTGAACGTAAAAAGATTACCTCCGTAAGATTGATATTTAGCTGATATATTTGATTTGTAATTTGAAAATGGAAACACGAGTGGTATTTCCTTAATTGCATTCTTATCGTCGTGAACATGTTTGCACTTACCTGCATTAGGCACGTAGTTTACTCAAAATTGCTTCACTGTATTATGGCATCAAATTACTGTGAAGGTATGGGAAAACTTTGCTCCTGTCGTTGGAAGGAAATGAAACATTAGTTTTGGCGATACTTGCAAAAAACTTGCATTGTATGCGCCCGAGAATAACTGTTCAAATTACTTGGTGTAGAAAAATACCACAAGGGCTTCACAGTGTTCTATAATTTGTTTCCTAGAAAACTCGCAAAGTTTTGAAAATACATCAGGTATTTTTGGAAAAAAATATTTGTACTCGCTAAAAGCATGTTAACGACATGGGCGTAACTACCCCGACAAGTGTTTTCCCTCACTAGATACACAAAATAGTGTCGTGTACTAACATTGGCATTGGCGCCATGTTTGAATGTTGTTAGCAACAAATTACATTGTTTTGAAATGTTCATTTAGGTCTACCACAGCGAACATTAACATAACCTATGTGCTAAAATACATCGATCAGTACCAAAACGGAACGATCTAAAATAATACAAGACTGGAATGTTAAAGCGATGACCTTGTATGTGCATATATTCAAACTTCCAAAAGTACGAAATTGTCTCTGAACTAGCCTATACCATGCTATCAGTTTTTAAAGAAGGCGAGTAGATTATAATTAGAGTAGGTACGACAAAACTTCTGTGCCAAAGGCGGTTTCCTGGTACAATTTTTCTATTACTTGGAGCGATGCTGCCGACACAAATCTCTCGACGTGCCTTGATTTTCCTCTCCACCATGATTCGATTTTTAGGGTTTACATTATTACCGATACATTCGTTCACCTCTATAGTCGAAATGCAAAGAATACTTTCAAAAATATATTATCGTCAAAACCTGGTAATTCTTTTTTTTTTTTTTCAAAAATTATATACAATTCGCTCGCTTCCCCTTCGTTACTGATGCTTGAAAAAGTTCTCAAGCTGAGATTGTAGAGGCCTCGTCGCGATACTTCACTAGGCATTTCATATCATTACTGAGAAGTTGTTTTGTTTACTACGTGCGCATTGTGAACATGGATATCGCTGCGTACTGAACACAAGCTGTTTCTTTCGTTTTATTACACAATTTCATTGGGTAATAACTCGAAAATATCTTTATGATTTACATCATTCGCCTCAGTAATTGATTCGACAGATAAATAACATGCGAATGAAGCTCAAACAACTTGTTTTTACCGTCGCATGACGTCACAACTGCATAGATGAGATAACGATTAGTCATGTATTTGCAAAGCTACATATGTGTACATGTAATAAGGCTTCTTCTTCGTCAAGCTAGATAAGTGCATTTGGTTCAATATGCTTGAAGAAACTACGTGAAACTAAACTGAACAAATGAAACTGTCCCACAAACAGTAGAATATTCACATATAATTCTAAGGCTGTGAACATCATACTCTTTTGCTGTTAGATTTTAATATGAAAGCTGCAATACTGCTACCCTTATTTATTGATAATAACCATAAAAAACGGTCGATGATGAGTCGTAAAACGTGAGGAATAGTATTTGAAGAACTAATAATGAAAAGAAAGTGAAAAGCAATCGATTGTTTCAGAGTTATTTAGTACTATTGTATATATATATATATATATATATTTACATACCATATTTTGAAGAACCATATGTTTTTTATTTCCACTCTTATTTTAAAATTTTATTTAACGTATTTATATATATATATAAGTCGGGTATCATAAAATTTGTTTGAAATCGTAAGAAAATTATAAATGTCTTATCATGATTTTGTAAAGGTTAGTCGGTAATTTGTAGCATTTTCTCCTTGTCGTTAAATGCTTTTGTGCAAGAACATTTGCGTCAAGATTAACCCCAAAACTTGACATTCAACCCGTCAATTATAGGCGTTACACCACATTCTTCAACAAACAATGGCTGAACAGGTATTTCGTTACACAGATATCTTGCGAACATATACATTTAAATAAATGAAATGTTCCGAATATATGAATTTATGATGAAAAAGCATGACTCGTTGAAAATGGTCATTACCAACTTGAAAAATCTTTTTTCAGAATTTCGGCTGAAACACGTAAAATTCTTATTTTTGTTGTAAATATGTAGTAGGTAAGTTCAATTCTAATGATTTCCATTGGTGTTAAGGGTGAGTTGCTAAGCACATATAAGAGCCAGCTCGGTGGAATTAAAACTGCTTTGTAATTCGCATAAAACTAAATTACTCATGTGGTAATATTCCCAGTGTGTTTTTCTGCAACATTTGTTAATGTCTAATTGGTGTGGTCAAGGCGCGAAATTGTCTTGTTGCAAAAACCCCATAGATCCGGATAACAGAGATTCGAGTTTTCTGTTAGAAACAACCACCTGCAGTGTTTTGTATATACATGTTTAGACAATAGCTTGTGCAAATTAATATTGTTTTATCAAAGTAATAAAAAGTTGATAAAACTAAAATAGTAACACAGTTTCATTTTTCTTACGTTTTTCTCCCGGTTCAGATTAGTTTACTCCATTTCGTAGTGAGTGGGTGATGGGTTTGGTTTGAACAAAAATGACCATTATATTCTGATATACGATATCCTGTGTCCAGCTCTAGCAACCATTCAAAGATTAACGTAATCTCCCTTGGCTTGGTCTGGATTTACTAAGCAATCATGGCAATAAATATAATCCGGATCGTTTAAGCTAATCGTGCGAATAAGAGTAAATATTATAAATAAAGAACCTCCAACCCTTCCTAGATTTTTCCATTCGAAATTCCGATGCCTTCAAGCTTCCACTATAGTTAATATTATTTATTCTATTTATCACACATTTAAACGCTGTATATGGATATACAAAGCAGCTACTCATATACAAGTGGCTTCACTATGCATAGAGAATCGTAATCTATGCAGTTCAGGCTGATTTATTACACTTTGCTTGCAGTGATAGACATGGAGACTAGAAGCTAAATATTGCCCGGTAAGGCCAGCATAGTTAGGTTCCGTGTATTAGCCACATGTCATCTTGCTCAGGACGAGGAGTGATTTCATATTCAATTAAAATTAGACTGGAACAGTTACAAACACATGTAAAATCATAGTTTGCGATTATGTTAGTGTTATCTGGATATTGAGCGATAAGACCATGACTGAATACAAGTAGACGACGTTCAATGGTATTTCTATTTTCACACAACTAAATTTCTGTCGGTGGCTCCCTGGCTATACTGTATATACAACTTTAACCCCAACTTATTTAATAAATGTTATAGTTCTGTCTAATTTGCGTAAAACTGATGTTTACTCGAATATTTTCTGTATTTTTCGATTTATTTTGTGACAAATTCTTTTAAAAATATAATAAATAATAAATATTAAAAAAGATGAAACGTAAAATGTAGAAAATAACAGATAAATGTAACAAAAATAGGAAACACTACGTTGTTTGCAAGTGCTATAAACAAAGCACCTTTTTATGAGGCACTTGTAAGGTAATATGTATTCTTAAATTTCAAGTTTAATTATTTCCGATTATTTTCTTTAATTGTGTAAAACAATAGTAATTACTCAAAACCCTTTTCTTAGAAAAGTAGCATGTAAACTCAAACTGCCAATAGTTTCTAAATCATCATATAAAATCATAAAATAATATTTCTATTAGATTTCTTCGATACAAATGTAATCATTAATAGTGAAAGTAAAAAGAGAAAAATATAAACAAAATGAAACACACAGTGGTTTATTCTTCAAGTAAAAAAGTTCATCGATTCATTGTTTGAATTCAACTAAAAATTCTGAAGTATGATGCAAAATAATTATTTGTCACCTAATGTTTGGTGAGAAACTATGACAGTCAATCTATGATAAGACACAGAGGCAAGAATATTCGAACGCATTATGTTAATTTAGATGTTCTTGAGGTATGATGTCTTGTCACTCTTGTGCAAACACGCCACTTGCCAATATTTAAAATTTGTGCTGTAGTAGAATTTTATTATTCCATATTATTCGACTTTGATTTTATGAAGTAGTTATTTTTGTGAATATATCGGGTAAGATATTCTGTTCCGTCTAAAAGACATGGTTAGATAGATCGGAAATAACTGAGCTCGAACTTTGAACTCAGTATTGTATGTTCATTTGGACATCAATTGTCTTTCTCGCCCTCACGATGATCCGTTGCTCTCCGATCAATAATATATGATCACTGAATCTATTCACAGCAATAGTTGCTATTTACGTTTTGTTTTTCAATGACACTCCGACAGCGAACATCCGTGTCTTGTTGGAGGCTTCTTTCCTTTGCATTCTCCTTCGCCAAGAAGTCGTCCGTGTTGACTACGACAAATTACGTTACGGTATTTAATTCCTTTGCCACAAGATCGTGAACAAGCGCCCCATCGTCCTTCTATCCAATGTGGTTGTCCGACTTCTCGATCGCTATATCGTCGATCAACTACCATCGGACCGGATGGAGAATTTCTTTCTGTTTTAGTAATACCACCGGATGGCGTATTATCAGGTAAACCGCTTCGTCTAGTTGTTGTTGTTGTTGTTGTCGAACAGGAGGCCACGCACGGAAGACGATCGTAAGGTTTTACTCTGGATTCACATCTGCAAAAAAGGAATGTATTAAATACTTTGTATGATGTGGTACAGTGAAAACAAACAAAATAAAAAATTATTCGTATAATCCCCAATTGCGATGCTCTGTCGATAACACTCTTGATACGCGTCATCCGCAGTATGTCAAACTCGACATGATATACAAGCGACTTTCCTTATATGGGGACAAAACACAACATATTTTGACGTTTCACGTCATCCTGTTGGCATGAAAATACAAACTATCGGCGTTTACCGCAGGCACGCTGTTTTGAAATCAGCTAAAATAACCGAAAATAAATTTATAAGGCACCGACAAGCGCTGTTTACGATAAATTCCGAATTATATTAAATTAGTATTGAACGCATAGTTTGTATTTAGTCTGAAAATTTTGTTATCGATTTATACTAAAATCACCTAAATGCATTTGGAAAGATAAACTATTTACAACTTCAAACGTTTCACGTGATTCTTTAGGTCTACTATTTCTCCAGGAATGATAGTAAGTCCGTAACCAAAACAAACATGTTTTTATTGAATTTGTGACTCACTGACAAAACCTATATTGCTTTATTATAAATTCCTATAAAACCATCGAATCGAACTCAATCAGGCTATGCTCTTGTTTACTTTAGAACAACATCACATGGCCATCTATGGGATGCGTTTCAGACGATATATCAGTTGAAGTAATCTTGTCGTCAAAATATTTTTTCACCATTATTCATTTTTCAAATATATATCTGACGATGTTTTGACACGTCTTTTCTTAGACCAGGGAACATGAAATTTAATCAAGAAGTGCGGAAATATGTTGTATGGCGGGGTCTAAAGTTGATTTCGTTACATGCTTTTGTAGTCTACAAAACACGTCACAGCTGAACGCCTATTGTACTACATTTGCGTCGGCTGTTACACAATATATACCTTTATATGTTTGTAACTTGACTCTCAAATAATATTTAAGAACTACAATGCGGGGATATACAACGTTGGATGAAAACATACACATCGGCTCTATGCGTATCTGTCGCTTGGAGCATACAGGAAATAAACAGCTGAAGCTTTTCAAACTTTTGATTTTTTTCCTAGTTCCATAAATCTTTACATTGTTTAGTAAATTAATGGGTCTTACATTTTATAATATTGTATTCCATTGAGAACTTTGCAATAGGATATTAGATACTATAGATGTATTGAAAATAATATGTTACAGCGATAATTGTTTCCGCCAAAGGAAACGTGATCGTATCTGTTCATGTACCTAACCTGGCATGCGATTGTAAAGCGATTTAAAAGTACATCATTAACACAGATCTTGCATGATTGGAATGCAGTAAAATGTTCGGATTTTCAGACGGATGTTCTTCAATACAACTACTTATCGTAAAGAGAAACTCGCACTTCTGGTAATCACAGGCTGTGCACTTGGATTTCCGCTACCATTGTTAGCGTCTTGACCACGGAAACTAATTCCATTCAACCCAACTATGAATACATCAAAATGTAAAAATTCGATACATTTTTCCTTAAGGAAATTCGTTGTTATATTTCAAACTACTGGCGCTTAAAGGGTCGAGCACTTTCGCGACTGGTGATTTAAATCCATGACGCAATTGCGGTTTGCGAAATATTGAAAAGAGCGCCTTTACAGAGACATTTGCATTTCCTAAACGTTTTATGATAATTTCACTAGATAAAATACTTCGGTGTTGTTCATTATAAGAATACATAACCCGGGGCTATCCATGTTGAACTATATTGAAAAAAAAAATGAAATAAAGCGACAAAACATTGTATTTTTGCAGGCTTCCATACAGAGCTTTTCGAACGCAATAAATTTTATCCGCCTTATATATATTCGTTATCTTATTATATTAACATTGGCAATTATTGAATGAAAAATTTTTTCGCCGAAAAACAACAGGTTAACTTCCCGAAGTCTTCCATCTTCAAAGCGAAGGCGATCATATTAGACATTACATTTTCTTCCTGGAACGCTAATTCTAACCGGGATATTACTTTTAAAAATTGCCTCTAATTATACACTATCCTTTGCGTTTTAGGTGACGACTCAGCCATAGTGTTCCCTAAACCGATCAGTACATTTTAGAAGAAAATTAGCTTTTTGAACGCTCGGCGAACACAATGAACGCTTTGTGTCGCCAACGTTAACCCGTGTCGCACATTCACCAGCCAATTTATTCAGGCGTGGCCGTTGCCGCAAGCAGAATATCAATATGTAGCGCCCACAACCACAGTCTTATAGCCAGTATGGCCTTACGCAAAACTGTAGATGATTGGTGCATTGGTACGATACGAGATTTTATCGAACCTAAATTTCATTTTTTCAAACGTTCGGAAATAATATCGTTATCGATTTTAAAGATATATTTAATATTGTTTGCACATCGTCTTCCGGTTGACCACCCGACGAGCACAATACGATATTGTTACTCATAGCGATATTTTGAAGTTTATGCAACAATCGGTTGTAAACTTTCGTCCATTCACATAAACTCGGGATTATATCCAAAGTCGCAGGATGGTAAGACAAATTACACCACATCAACAGCTTATGGATCAATAGATGGTATGAAGGCTAGTGTGTCTGATAAATTTCGTTTCGAATTTTATATTATCGTCAGCACTTGGCGATGTAATGCGGATAATTAAATAAGAATAAATGTACAAAAAAACATCATCTTACCCAACAGCAGAGTATAATTTGTTGTTTCTACAAGTAACTCGTCTTGTCTTCCATCCCGACCCACATGTTCCCTTCTTTGGTCTGCATTTTGACCATCTTCCAGTTACCCATGATAATTTTTCGGGTTTTGAATATTTATCGTCAACAGGTTTTTTGATGCCATTTGTAGGAGAAGGCTGTTGAATAAAAACATGGTTAGATATTGTGGCACTGACAATCGTATTATAAAAATCGTGTTGCTAGCGCGTCATCCACAACATAAAACTACGTTCTAACTTACCGTTTTGGTTTTGCGTGAGCGTCCAGTGGATTTTGGCTTAGACTTGTAGTAACTGTATTTGATTCTTGGAGGTAGAATTTTTCCTTTTGTTCCAACTCCCAGAGAAAGAACTTGGATTTGGATATCGCCAATTAGATTACCGGTAATGAGAATTTTTTCCATCACTGTTCCGACTCCACTATATCGTATTGTGGTACCTACAATTGAAAAATGAATTTTAATAATGGACAATTCGCCAAAATTCCATAAAAAAGTACTATCGGGGAAAAACAAATTGCTTACCATTTATGCTGATGTCTTTTTGATAAGTTGAAAGGGTGAGACCTCCGTTCAACAGATAGCGACCAGTCCAGTCTTTGATCGCGAGGTAGTTTCCGTCATGTACCTTGTTTCTGTATCCTCTTTGAACGATTTCAACGGTTGCCGCGCCCGATGGGATGGTAACAACGTCATTATATCCGTATTGTCGTTTCTTGTAGTAACCTAAAAACAAAACATTCGTTTATTAATTACTGAATTATCAATAAACCAGAAAATCACGACGAACAAATGTGGCGTGAGCCTGTTTATTAATAAAAATGTTTTTCATCTTCTAATATCAGCGAGTGGGCATGTAGTCTCCATAAGGAGTGAAACAATTTATTTTCGAAACAGGAAATTGAAAGCGACGTTGTTAATATTCATGGAATGAAACGATTGAGAAATCCTATATTGGATATATGATATTGAATTCCAATTCAAAATATCTCAATACATTTCCATTATGATATCACGGCTCGTCGTCTATTTTAAGATGGTAATCCTAACCTTTATGTGATATTTTTGGACTAGAAAGTGGGACCTTTGCTATAAAAAGAAGTGCAAACCGGTACATTTTGTATAAATATGGAATGGTTTAAAATACATAATTTGCATCCGCAAAAGATCCTTTCTCGTTGTAATTTAATTTACTAAAAATCGTGTACGCTTTCTGCAACGAATATTTGCAAATTTTTGCTAGATTTAGTTACGCATGACGTCTTATATGGCTTCCGCACTCGAAAAGGCAGCATCAAAGACCCCGGGGAGAATTATTATCAAAACAATTTACGATAAATCAAGAACAAAAACAACGAGAAATACTCGACTTCAACCTCGGTAATTACAGAGTCCTTTAGCGCACCCAGAGGGTAAATATTGTTTAGAGCAAAATAAGAGACTCAAGTGTAGGAATGCTGCAGCCGCAAGATTATTAAAGGTTACAATGTTGATGTTCAGGGTCTTTTGTTTCTTTATTGGTTAAGGTTGGGAAGGGCTCGTATATCGGTACCCGGTACCTAGAGAGGTATTAGCAATTAAGAGACTGATGTAATATTGCAGGAATGTGTACAAAATTTTATACCGAAAAACGTCTAAATTAAGTATCATATTTTACCCAAAGTAGACAAACGCACGATTTTCAATTATTTTTATATGTATTTGTTTTAAAAACGGTGGGATAACGGTGTGTGCATACACAAACCATTTATCAATCGTCAGTTGCCTTTAGTTGATGACATGAGCATCAACCTAAACGTTTAGGTGACGCATTTCTACCGCGACCTTGGTTCGAAGGAATTTTTTCAAGGGTTTGTGAGTAAAATTGATATCGGAAAGAATTTTATGAATTTCATTTTTGAGGCCCATAGCACGAAATAGTATGTTTGGATAAATAAACTTACTACTTAAAAAATATGGAACAATATATCCAGGATATATATATTTATTTGAGTTACATAACAGATTGAACGGTCTATCAGCGCTCACCACTGGGATTTAATGAAACAGTATACTAAGTAAAGAGTACTTATCTCTACTTTTTCTAAAAATAGTGTTTTTGCACACACAGATTTGCAGGAATTTGTTCTTACATACTATATTGCAGTATTATCCCTTAAGGGTTTAGTTTCTGAGCCATGAAATCCGCATTGGAGCCACACTGCTCCCAGGGAACATGTAATTACATGGGTTCAATGAGATATATGGAGGTTATTTCATAATTTATCAAAATAACTTAAATTTATTTGAGTATAAATGTATCGTTCACTTGAAATTAAAGTGCTTGGCAAGAAGAGTGCGTCAATAAACAAACATGACAATATCGCTGGTATTTCGATTAAGAAACAACTCGCATTTGCGGTTTGTTGGTAATATAAATTTCTTATACCGCGATAATGTTTCGACGAAGATCGCATGATAGGAACCTAATACAGTAGTCAAGTTAAACTGTAGTGACTAAACTATCGTTTACAAGAGTTGATAGATGGATTGACTACACCCTTGAATCATGCATTCTCATATGTCTTGTCGTTCATCTTAAGTCGTGGGGTTAAATTTGAGTCGCGCGCAAGATGCCATATAAGGAACTGGGTCATAACCCGTAAAATAAGGGAGCGATGCCGTTGCAATCAAAACGTTTGGTCTCATGGAAAAGTGATATCTTACGATTTTCGCTAAATCGTTTGCGACACATCACACGGATCAGTGTAGGTCAAATTTACTAGTAATTTTGCACTTTGCAAGACAAAAGATGCGAAGCCGAACTTCGTGAGAGTTTAGGTTTTAGTACTCAATTGATACACTCCACTTCTAAAATCACGGCGCATCGAAATAACCAAAAACAACTTGTCTGGTGAGTCTTTGGGGGGCTTGTGGTGTTGAAATGGTCATTTGACCCCACACTGCAATCACACACTTAAAACTTTGTTGTATAAACATCACACATGATAGTTTCAGTGAGACATGAGCGATGAGTGACTTCCCTGAATGGCCGCTTGATTTGCTTACCCTCTGACGTAAATCGTAGTATACCCAACACGCGCACAGGTACATTTCATGTAATCCCACCAAGTTGTTCCCAATACCGCAAACTAGCAGGTGACTTCTCACGGTCTTACCTTTCACTCTCTTGCAATGCTTGTTCCCACCGCCACAAACTCCACATCTGTCGAATTTCGTTTTGGATCCCAATACACCATCACATCCAGCCTTCATGCATACACCTTGCACACAAATGTCAGTGGTATTTGGTCCGCACCTTAAGAATAAATGAACATGGTTATAAAATGTTAAAGTTTTATAACGCATTTTATTTCATTTTCAATAATTTTATTTGCTTACCTAGTTCCATCAATGACTTTATTTCCAAGAATCACATACACGCCTGTTTGAACAGACTGACAGTTGAGTTTACATCTGTCGTTTCCGTTAACATCGGAATATTTTGGAATCCATTTGGTGGCTGTTTTGACTCCAAGGTGTGGAAATGTTTGTCCGTTGTAAGCTGCACACTGTTCGCTTCTGAAATCAGAAGGTCCAGATGAAGAGCGTGATTCGGGGCATCCATCGGTGTTGCAGCTGCGAAAACGAAGTCGAGCTCCAATGCAGTATTTACCGCCGTTTTCAGGTGCCGGATTATTGCATTCTCGACTTGACATCTGCACACCACCACCACAAGATCTGGAAAAAAAAATTAAGAATTATTGATTTGCCATTTTTAATGAGTACTAGCACTTTATTTAATCAATATTTTGACTCACCGTGAACACGATCCGAATGTTCCCCATTGACCCCAATTTCCGTCTTTCGGCATGCGCAGTTGTTCAACTTTAACACATTTTCCTTGGAAGCAATGAAGCCCTCTTCCACATGAAGTTCCATCGGCACGTGGAAAATGACGTGTGTGACATTGATGACTAGAAATAAAAACAGTTATGTTAGTTCATGTATATCTACAAATCATGTATCAATCAAATTTTAATGTATGTCTATGTCTAATTGTTAGGATAAAATTAAGGTTAGAAATACTTACGCTCCACCAGGCGTGTGGCACCAGAGGCGACCGCATTCTTGCATAAAAGGACATTCGACTGCTCCTTTTCCGAATGACATGGCACATTGAGCATTGACGTCGTACATTTCGCCTGGTAGTTTTCCAGGATAGACCTAACAATAAAAAGAAAAACTCAATTGCTAATCAACAGAAGAGTGCTAAATTTTGGTCACCATTGTTTAAAAGTGAATATTCCAAAAAGCCGTGTTTTGAATGCAGCAACGCACAAAATCTAGAAGTATTTAAATAAAAGAACAAAGAGTTACGATAGTTTGCAGTTTAACAAGCTCATATGTACAGACTACATGTCTGTAAACTGTAATGTAACTTTACTGAAGGCGGTGTAATATCTTCTGCGCAAACAACATGAGGTCGGTGCGGTTTGAAAACGCTCTGGCAGTATATTTTAAGGTTATCTTGCATTAAAATAGACACGAGGTGAGTGACCTCAAGCCTCTAAGAGAGTCTTCATGTGGTTTGGAATTTATATGGTCCTCACTTGGCTTACTTAATTACTATGCCTGAGGTTAATTTCTAAACGGATGTGTGTATATTATTAATACAAATGATGCCGGTTAGCTTGTCAAACAAATTTCAAGGGCTAACAGCTGATTTACCGTAAAGATGGCCGCAACGTTTACAAGGAAGTAAGGAGGCCCTTGTGCATTAGCATATCATTGGTTATGGGTGTTTATTTACAAACAGTTGGCAATTGAAATGCGTTCACGTACAAATTTTCTACTTAATTCTAATTTCTAGGGATTTTAGATTGCTACTTTGTGAGGGGAAATAGGTTAAAACATCAGATCTTATAATATAATAGCTCAGCCAATCTGTTAGCTTTATTTGCTTATGTGTTTGACAGACATGATAACGATATTGAGCTTATCATGTTGAACAAAATTGCGGTTTATTAGATATTGCGAAACACTCTGCAATGTCGCATACGTTTTTCGGTTAGGAGTCGTCACATAAACATAATCAGACGTACTGTCTGGTAGATTGCAGCCACACAATAGATTTAATATTAGCAATAACTAGAAATTGTTAGCTTGTCAAACAACGTATTTATATCCAGACGTAAATCCGGTCAAATATAATTGGTAGAGATTTTTCATAATGTTCTCGAATTTACCTTGGTATCTCTGGGTCTGTCAAGCAAACACGATCCTCTTCCGCTTTCCAAGAAGTCCGTGATCGCTTCTTTTGAGCAAAGACTCCAGGGTTCGTCGCTATCCACGCGGTTCATTGTAGAACTCATGATATGCGTGTTGGGATTGATGTGACCAAAGTTGGCACGACACAGTCTGTTGTCGTCATGCATCATGTTGAGAACATGGCCGATCTGAAAATTAATTCACCTGTTCAAATTTCTGGACAAAATTTTTCTTAATTGTGTTATAGGAAATCCTGATGTTTTTACTATTCATTTCAATTGCTATGTACTAATTCCAAGTGTTGGAAGTGAAAAATCATAACGTACCTCGTGTGCTACTGTGTATGCCGCGGAAAGTCCATCGTCTTCAACCACGGCACAACTATGTTTGCTTGAGCACATTGCTCCCACGTCAGCCATACCTGAAAATATAAAATATAAAATTTACTCAGGTGAAACATTAAAAAATATAGCGATATACCCAAAATTGTGATGACGAGTTAAAAAATTGTAACTTTATTTAGCTATGTGACGTAATGTTTGTCACTGGTATCTCGACAAAACATCTTATTGTCAGGACGCACTTGAAATTCGCCGTCGACGGATGTGCTCGGTGCGTCATGCCCTTTTCCTGTTTGTTGTTGATAGTAATTTTTTACCTAGAATATTAGTATTATTTAAGAACCATTGTCTTTGAACAATGAACAAATAGTGTTCTTTAGTTGAAATTCTTCGCCCTAACGATATGCAAAATGTCTTATCAAAAGGAGGAATAGTCTAGCTAATATTGTTGCCAATGCGAATTAGGCGACCGAAATATTTTTGTCGTACTAGCTGACGAGAAAAATGAAACCGTTGCAGTTTATATATCATAAAAACATGACGTTGAGTTGATTCGCAGTTCATGCGTGCCCCAGGGTATCCTAATGACAAAAAGTAACTTTTTATCGCGCACGCACTCATGACAACTTTGCGATAAAATTTGATATATAGCACCACCTTGGATCTTCATCAAAGACAGATTTCAAATTAATGTCGCCCGAGTAAATGATGATTGCTTTAACATGATAAGATATATTTTCAAACTTGAAACAGTAACATAAATTTCTTTTAAATATTGTATCAAAAACGTTGTGCAGTTGAATTTAATATTTTGTTTCCGGCTTGGTTTAACATTTTGGGCAAAATCACGTTTATCCAATTAATCATGTAATTTGACGTTAAGATTTTTTTTCTGATAAACTCATGCATCTCACTTCGACAGCATAAGTGTGTATTCCTTATGAGCGTGACGGATCTCTTTAGTCGTCAATTTGATTACACCTTACACTTAACGTTGCTAAAAATTGACTCGAAGTTCGGTGTTGCTTTACATTCGGCATAATTTGCGACCATTCTATATGGCAGACTAAAATACAATCGGCGCGGGTCACTTGTCTTCCATGGGTGGCCTGTTGTTTTTGGCAAATGCATTTCCCATGAAGAAGGGAATAAAAATTGACAAAAAAGAACACGAGTTGCTTTAAAACCACTGAAGTGGACATGGACAGCTGACTAGTGGCAGCATTTTTTTTGGTGTGATCATACAGGATTTATCATGACGATGTTTAGTTTACTGGTCACGGTTTTGATAAATGGGCTCAAGAATTGTCACAAAATATATTCAAAACACTGAATACAATTATACCATCTGGAATCTGGAGTTACTACGAGATTCACTATTACAGCTAGTTGATCATCACAAAACTCAAAAGATTTTGACAGCAGCTTAAAATTTCAAAATAAAGACTTGCGTGCGAGAATTTGATATCACAAACGATACCATATGTATGACTAGATCGTTTTATGGAAAATATCGGTAATTCGATCCACTAATTTTCTTCGATCGATATTTTCCCTCTAGGGTCAAGTGTTCTAAAAATAGCTTATCGCGACAATTGCCGAGATGGCAGATTTGAGAGATATTCAAAACGTAAAAATAATTTTAGAATATCGAGAGAATAGTTATTTTTATCCTCGTTGCTACTTTGTAGTTGTCATTTTTTGACACACATTACGTAATTGTCTTCAAATAGTGATTGAATATGACAATAGCATTAGAATACGAAGGCGTTTATCATTTTGAACGACGTTGAGGTTAATCATATACAAAACAACAACCGGTGTTTATAATATCCTGACTTATATCTTAAATAACCTTTACTTTCTAAGTTAACTCAAGTTGTTATGTACACTTTACACGCATTAGTGATCTTATGAAATCGTTATAAAGGGTTAACCGTAAAAGATAAGATTCGCCGCCATTAAATATGATTCATATTTTTGAAAACTTGAATTTGATTGACTCAAATGGCGGAATCGCCATATCTCGCAAATAAGTTTAGAACGAATGCAACAGTAAAATTAAACAGACTGTCAGTTTTTGAGATGCAAAAGTAAATACTCCCTTATCGACCGGATAGAGTGAAAAGATTAAATTTCAATTTTGGTTAGTGATTTATATCTATCCATTTATTTGTCATTTTGAGCTGAGGAATTGAATTCTTAATCACAAATATATATTCTATACCGAGGAATATCAGCCATCTCAATTGATCATATATTTGACGAATTTATTTGCGCATCTAACTATTTGGACATGCCTTCAATCGGCGTGAGATTATCACACTTCGACATCTACGATAAGTCATCAATCTAAATATTTTTCTCGTTTAATATCGAGATAATTTTAATATATTAGAAATATCACAATACTATTGCAAAGGGGGTCTGTCTCCCGAGGATTAAAGAAGGTCGAGCATAATTGTAGGGCAAATATAGTGCAAAGATATTGGTACAAGTCTGCAGCCAAGTAATCAAATACATATTGTGTTCTCTTCGAGCTTTATATAATTCTGGAACGCTGTCGAAGTAGTTTGTGTGAAGTAAATTTTATTATAAATATCTTTAAACGATGCGATTTTGTACGTTGTCATAACTATTAATATTCTTTTATAAATTGCTATCTTGCTCAATTCATTTATGAGACCACTTGATTTTGTACCATCTTCAAAGAATCATAAGTGGCATTGATTGGACGACTACAAAGATTTTATATTGACGCGTAAATAGTGATATAATATTTACTTACGCCCTTTAACCGCGTCAGGATTGAATTTAGTTCTATTAAATAGTAGTTGGTTGACTTGCGCTTTTTTATACAGTACTTAGTGGATGTGACCTATTTTAACTTAGAATCAAAATCCAAAGCTCCTATACTTATAAACTTCAACTTGTACTTTTTTTCTATCAGGACTCTGACATCAATGCCAGGAATTTCTTAATGAATGGAAATATTTTTGTTTGCAATACGTATGTATTCTAGGCTTTCTTGGTGACAATACTCAGTCAAAGTTTTCATACTTTCAACCATATTGTATAACAAAACATTTAACCACAAAGAAAGTGAACTGAAACATCGCGGCTGTTTATGACTGCCATCCTGACGTGACACCCACCGTGAAAGTTTTTACACTTGATAATCTAAGCAGAAAATTTTTGTTTGCGAAGCAAATGCTCGAAATTTTGCTTCGTTCCACTGCAATGAACTTATGAATCATTCGTGGTTGGCCTTTGTGAATTTTTGTGACCCTGTGCGCCATTTTGAAAAATTAATTACCGTAGATGAAAATGAGACAATCCGCGTAAAAATGTATGTCTGGCAAGGAACTTGATGTTTGAAAGAGCCATTGTTTTAATGGAATAGTTTACAATAACCAAGAGGAAAGATGTTACTTTTATCGCAAGACGGATAAATATATAAATATTTTTTTTATTAACAAGTTACATTCAGCTTAGAGAGCATTGAATGCTTTAAAAGATATCAGACGACCCTATGCGCTTAAAGGGTATAGCAGTGAGACCTCACGCGCAAAGCGTGCCCACGAGGGCTTATTATTACAATAATACTGCAATAATATATGTAAAGGTAACGTAGATTCACTGAGGAAATATGCGGATGAAACTGATAAGCATGGAATATGTTGACATTACACTGTTTTTACAACTGAACTTATCATATACCTCGGGGCAATAAGACAGGAAATTGAATTTATAATCGAATTTATCATCAAATTGTATGCTCTTTTGGCAGAAAATTATCCTAGATTATGCTAAATTGATGTTATATTAAGGGCTAAATTCTTGGAAAATGTCGACTTTGGGTCAGTATTGATGCGAGATACCACCTAACCCAAACGCTCAAGATAATGCCATGAATATAATACGCACAATGGTAATCTTCTTGTTGTTACTAATCTACTTGGCGCCGGAACAAGAAGAAGATAACGATCTGGAAATGACTGGTAACATTTACATAATATCTCGCCATTCAATTTTGCATTTCCAATATCAATTAACCTAACATTACGTAATGTATTTAGCGTTGCTTTTAATAAATATCTCACCTAGAGTATCACAAGTGTCTCCGCAAAGGTCTTTACGAGTAAGTAAGACTGCAAGATCGAAGTGATTCGGATCGTCATCATCAGGTGTGTTGTGACGACTTTGCCAGTTGCAGAAATCTCGCAAAGTTTTCGCGGCATTCGTTGAAACAGGGAGGTCATTTCCAGCTTGCATAATCTGAAGGGGAAATATGCAATTCATATCCTTTGCTACTACTTTCTATACATGACAAAGATGCGTTCGTTAATGTTTAATATACAAAAATAACTTAAAATACACACACACCTTGACTACACTGATTGTTACTGCATTCCCCAGACTTGGATGTGCAAAAACTCGATTTGCCACCATCATGATAGTAAGAATGTAATGTTCAAGGTCATCGCCATGGTGATCTGACATTGCTTTGTCGGCAACTACCATTGTTTCAATAAAGTGCTGTTTGGAGCTGAATCCTCTCTTCTGTCTCGACAAAATTTCTTCTTTTTCCATAACAGTTGGCTCGGCTTTGTTGATTTCGATGACCGATCTTTTGCTGCGAATCTAATAAAGAGAAATTATAATTTTTAATTGGGGCATCATCTCCAGTATATATGCCAGGGATTTCATTTTATATAACTTACGTGTCTCACGAATTGGTCTACTGAGCTCATAAATGTTCGTGTGTATTTCTGGTGATTTCGTTGATCATTCACACCACACGCTTTCGCATCTGCTGATCTTGTTCTTCTGTTTCTGATGCTTCGCCTGTGAATACTGTGTTCTATAGCTTCTCCGGTTTTGGATTTTTGTTGACCATTTGGTTCTATGAAGTAATCAAAATCTTCAGTACGGATTGCACCAGTTAATCCATCACATATACTAAGAGTAACTTGTGAGCTGGGTTGATCCAATACTTTTCCTTTGTAAAAGCATCCGTGAACTCTTGATCCCTTTCTCGGTGCCTGACCGGAAGTAGAATTGTGGAAAGAATAAGTTGTTGTGTAAGCGGGAGATATTAAATCTTCATCTTGAAGAAGTTCAATAATCATTTCGCTACCAAATGCTTTAATTTTGTAATGTGGATTCTTAAATTCCTCATCTTGGTGCTCCTTCGAAGTATCGTCGTTTTTTGTACGAAAATGAATTTTTCCACTATGTGTTTCCTTGTCGCCTCGTAACCGGACGGGCGTCGTGACGTCACTCACTGTCATGATGTTTTCGGGGTGGGCGCGTACTTCAACTTTATCATATTGTGCATGTGACGAAACCAGCGCCAAGTTGAAGAAAAGGGAAACGCAAAAAAGTCCAATGAATTCTCTAAATGAACGATTCATGCTGTATTTGTGTTTGTCGTTAAATAATTAAATAAATAAGAGTCAGAATCAACATAAATTGATGATTTTCCGTGTGTTATTCTTTGACAATAGGTTCTGTATCATCTCAAAATATATATTTTGTAGGAGTATACTATAATAGTATAAATAACTGTAAAATGAACAATGGCACGGTGAAGGTGGCGATAAAAATATCTTTGCAGTGCTTTGAAGTGCTCTTGTAAAAACAAAGCATTCGGAACGGTTTTGTCTTAGATAAACACGCCATGACACCGCCATGGTTTACAAAAAGCTTTCAACTAAAGAGTACTCAAGTCACACACGTCCTGACCTTGGCTTATTGGAATACTATTCTTCCGGTAACGAGTAGATACATCAAAAGAAAAGAGTCTTTTCATTACCGAAATAATGTAACAAAATTAGAATTTCGAGTACTTTTGCGGTAAATGTCTGGCGAACGCCATGAGGCGCATTACGTCACCGAGCGCCCTTTACCCTCAAAGTTCTTTATATTTTTACGGATCTGCTTATTGACACAGATAATTCTATTGTGCTGCTCCGCCGATTTGGCAAAGCCATTTTATCGCATCTAATAGTCATGAAAAGGAGCGGAAGTAGGGTCCAGGTGCCATGCTTACATTTCAGAACTACCGTCGCTTTCTTAGCTGACCACTAAAAGATACAATACAATGCCATTCATAGCAGAGTATTGGGCATCGTAATGAATATTTCTCAAGTTTTATTCGGCATTGTTCGTAACGCGGAGCGTCATTTCGGCGTCTTCAAAGCGTAGGGTGAGGGCCTACAACGAAAGGGATGGACCTAACATAAAAAAGTTTTTATTTTCTAAAGGACTGGAACATTGTTAATAAAAAGTGGAAACCAATACTAGACAATCAATCAACGTCAACAAAGTCTAACGATGTATCGACACTGTTACGCAATTAGTAAAATACTAATTTTTCAATGTTAACCGACAAGTTATTTACGTTCCAATAAAACTATACAAAAGTAACCAATCATTTATATATACTGGTACTTTAAAATGTGTAAAACTGTAGCAAGATTAAATACCTTTAATTTCAACTAATATTACTATAATTTTTTAAGTGATATTTGATCCTGCAAGCGGCAGCGACAATCGAATCCTTCGATTCGAACATCATTTCTGGCTAACGGGGGATCGTTTAAACATGACAAGATTCCATTCAAACGACGTGGTGGACATTGACATAATATAAGAATAAATCATTTTAAACAATTGAATTTTACACAATACAATGTAAATATACGTTTATTATAATAATATATACCTAATGATACCGTAAGAAGAAATGAAAAAAAAAGAGAAAGCCGTAGACAGATTACAACAATTTGACTCGATCGTTTTGTAACTCGAAACCTGTAACAAAGCCACTTTAGGTCGAATAAACATACGGGGTCCGTGTTATACACGTCTCGGGAGATGGAAGACTGTTTTCCAAACTGCTAAAATATCGGGGTCGGATTTCAAAGCATTTATTGCGCTCTGACGGGTTGTTTGTTCGGGCTGAGATCCCAAACTTCACCACCCAAGTCGAACTCTGATCACGACTATATGCTGCAATAAATTTTCAAAACGACAATATATTTTTCGATTTAATTTAAAAAAAAAATTTGGGCTGTAACTTGGTTCAGCATATTTTAAATAAGTAAATTTTAGGCTCTGCGTTCGTCTCAAGTTATTATCTTTCGTCTAAGAACATACAATTTGTCTTTGTTCCTAATCACTGTCGTGACTACGATTGAAAGCATTCAATATGCTCAGCCTATTATACAATTTTGAAAGCAGTGAGATGCGTAATCCGTATGATTAACTTCTATTGTGTATTGTAGGACAAAGATCTCAATCGTTTCAAAGCCATAAATCTGAGAACTTTTTTCTTTTTTAAATACTTCACCTCGTTTACAATGAAATCGAGTGACAAATCGTCCTCTTAATTGACAATGAGCTATTTAATTAACTATTTGAGAAATGTAATTGTGCTGAGCCTGAAATAAATTGTTCACTCGTGAGTAGCAGTATGCAACTTTGCCCTAACTATGGCTTTCTAAATAATTGGAATGTTCAACTCATGAAATCGATTGTTGTTTGATAAACAACTACCTTCCGGACAAACGACCGGAGGCAGCGAGCCGTTTTTACCGTGATATATTTACAAAAATCCGGTCTAACTCCAGGATACGCTCCGCTGAGGTAATACTGTAATATATAAAAAGATTTAAAAATATAGCGAGAAATCGATAATTGGGTGAGATAGCATTTTAACGAGAACCCACTTTTTGAAATTCCTTATTTATGCAGCGAGAAATTATGACCGCTCCCAAAATAAATGCTTTTTATCAACATTTTTAACTATCTGGTTGCTTTATCCCGCGGCATGAAAATGACGTAATGGTTCAGGCGAAACAAGACTAAATCTCTCACTGTGCGGCAATGTGAGGCTCATTCAGTCGACTCTAATCTAAAGCTTTTTTGCAGGTTATTTTCGTATCGGATTCACGTTATATAAGATATTTTTTGTATTTTCAAACAGCTGACTTTAACATGGTCACGCTCTGTATTTCACTCAGCTTCTGGCGGAACGAGTATTACAAGGGTAAGAGGAAAATAAGTACATGAAAGACACCGCCACGTTCAGCATGCGGAACCCAATTAAGTATATCCCCCTTTTGCCTAAAAAAGTCAAAAATGGAACAACAATGTTGCACGTCGTTAAAGTTCTTTTCCGACAAAGATATGCCGCTAGTAACATATACGCCCACTTGTCGATACCTTGTGCTTTAAGGTTAAATTGTCAACGCATAGGCACACATATCATTTAAAAATTACATTTAGAAATATTTTATACACCCTAAATATGTTCGTTACTGAAATTATAATTGTAAATTTACGTTTTGTCATGCTTCATTATGCTACATAAAAGTCTAATAATCTTTTGTTGTGCAAAAAACGCGGAATCATTGCTTTGATGCGGTAAGTAATTAAGAGAAACCATTCAAGATTATGAAATATGAAAGCTACTTACCGACGTTCATACCAAATCAAACCAATTTGCTCATCACCGAAAACACGATGTTTGCCACTGCAAATGGCGTTTGAGGATTGTTTGAACTTCCCATAGAATATATATTGTAGTGTATCCACATATACCTTTTACATGCATTCCCTTACAAATCTCAATAACCTTAAGACATTATTTGCTTTAACTAATCGAACACGTATGCGATAATTTGGCTGAGATGGGAATTCGATGTTAGGCGACAAATAGCGAGTTTCTACCTTCGTATTAAATCTTGCCATTTCCCAAAGAATAAATATTTGCGTAATACGATCGTGAACAAGGTGTGCGTAGGCGATGAAATACGCATCTCGTTGAATAATCCTATATTGAAGTATAAGGAAAATACACAAAAAATTAACTTCATATAAACGTATGCCTGAATACAGAAATATTACCATCACTTGCGAGACTCCAATTTACAAGTAAGTATAAAGTCGCACAATAGTTCAACTCAAGACAATCAAATCATTATGTAAGTAACTCAATTTGAACCCTAAACTTTACCGTTTGAATACATTCTGTCATCCTCAATCTGCTAATGTAATACTTCCACCAATATTAATATTATATGGCGAACCCCGCTTGAGAGCAAACACTACTGGTTCTAAAATAGATACCGCGCCGTCATCTCCACTTTTACAAAGAGGCTCAGACGTCTTCACCACGACGGTGTTGCGACTACGAATGGTATTTAGGAGCGGCTCTCCCATTTATATATGCTGCTCGATTTCGTTCGTTACTCTCATTTAATAGAGCGATCTTTTCAGCGGCAGTGAATTTTTTTCGTCGAAGAAATCTACGTCCTTAAAATCAAGTAATTTTTTGGCCACGAAATCGTTCATTTGGTAAAGTGATCAGTCAAATAAATAAATTTTCGAAAAAGGTATTTCACTTTTTTACTTAGAATGGATATCATTTTACACCTTTGACGTGAATTGTGGCTTCTGGGATGGGAACAGACGATTTGTATGTAGTATTAGGTATTGGTTTGCTATATATCTTTTGCAAATATATAAAACCTTCAGCATATATCTGGATATTGCACTAATGGTGTGAACAATCAAATCCATAGACGCCAATGAGGATATATTATAGCGGCTCCATCACGTACGAGTATCTGTTGGTTTCCCACAAACTTTTATTATGTGTGTAGACTCAATACAGCAAATAAAAAGCAATATTAAGTTGTATTCTCGGCGCACAGTCGATCGTCTATTCAAATTCAGCTGTTATGGTGTGTTCTCATCGTGTGTATCAGACTATGATTCGCATTTTGTCTAACTCTAAATCATCCTGTTTGGGCGTATTGTGGTTGACGACACTGAGTGTCTCCCAAGAGCCGACTACATATTGTCTCTCAAATATTCACGAAAAAGGCGCGAGTTAGACATAGGTCTGGGCTGGGAAAAATACGAAACTCGAGAAATGGTGAAGTACAAGACCTCGCTCAGATGCGTCAACAGCCAAAACCAGTTATTCTGATCTTAGTAAGGTTGAATTAAAAGGTTGATATGTGTGACTCGGATTAACATCGATATGTGAGAAATCTTTCATCAGTTTATAGTTTCGATGCCAATAGTTCAGAATATTAACGAGTCATATATTTTGGCCAAGTGTCATTCTAACACCTTCCCACCGCAAAAATATAAAATTTTACAAATATACTGGTATTATCCCGTAATTGCAATTAAACTATTTTCTTTAACAACACAAAATTGCAATTTCTTGATTTCATAATGTCAAATATATTGTACTTTCACAAAACCATATTTTTGTACGATAAAAATAACACAACAGTTACCTCATTCTTTGCTCAGTACCCAATTAATACAATACAACACATCTCTACATAAAATACCTAATGTTTCCACTTTTCTAATTCGACCTTTTCTTACTTCTCGTTCTGCAAATCACAGATTAATAAACTTGTTGTCACGTAAACCAAATTTTGGACTAATAGAAAATCACATTCGTGATCTTTCTTTACCTCAGTCGAAAATTTAATTATGAGGCGATACAAACCTTGACTTTTCTGTAGGTACAATTTTATTGAAAAGCAGTAT